TATGACGTGGATGTTATCTTTTTCTAGAATGACATTTCCTTTTAATTCTTATGATAACATGGCAATAACACCTTATACAATTTGCCTATGTGAACAAATAAAAATGCTACATTAGATTAACACTTGGAACTATATGTCAAATCAAATTAACATGTCTACAGATAAAAATATCCACTTGTTGGGTTCAATTGACTAATTTCTTGTGACTCTGAGTTTCAATTCCAATAAAAACCCAAATCTATTGGACTCTATGAAATCCAATAGCTAGGGTCGATAAAACCCAACAGCTAGGTTTGATGAAACCAAGCAGCTAGGTTTGATGAAACCAAGCAGCTAGGTACGATGAAACCATTACTAGGTTCTAATCAAACCCATTAGTTGCGTTGGTAGAACCCAAATCAACTAAAAAAGACAATCTAACTACCATTTCTAATGATTATGGCTCAACATTCAAAGAAATTTGACGCAAACCTTTAAAAAAATGAAAAATCAAATGTATACCCTTAATCTAGCTCAAGATAATGCTCAAATTCAAATCTTAGAAAACAGTAAAACAAACGATGAGAGGGCAAGGGAAGAGAAGTCGACACTAGAAAAAGGAAAAAAGAAGAAGTTGTCAGAGTTTATGGTTAAGGAATAAAGGGGAGAAAAAAGGAAATCAAGGGAAGAAGATGAACTTAGGGCATGTATGTAATTTTGAAGCTTTTATTATTTATTAAATGAAGTTTTTATTTTTACTAATGTGGTGTAGAGTTTATTTGCAAGGTAGCATAAGTTTTAGTCCAAATAAGCATTCTTTTTACTTGTATTATCCATGTCAATAAAACAAATAAAAGAAATGCAATGGGGGTTGACTTAATAGTACTACCTAACAGAGGATCAAAATTGTGCAGTTTTTAGAGTTGAAAGATAAAAGAGCAAAAAATAGTTGAGGGATGAAAATTTTGCAACATTATAAAGTTGAGAGACCAAAATTAACATTTAACCATTATTTTATTATTTTTTAATTAAAATAAAAATTTAGTAACTTTAGTAATTCTAACAAAAATAATGCACGGTGCTCATAAGAATGCTTTAATGTTGGGTGGGTTTTCCCATATTCTTATTTGCGCCATTGTGTTTGTTTCCCTTCTCTTTACTTCAGCAGTGAAATTGTTTTCCCATTGTTTTTCTATATTATTTTCATCCATTAGGAAAGAAATTTTGGTGTTCTATTTCGATAGTAGCTCTGCGAATGAAAATGGAATATAAAGAAAAATATGTATTAGTGTTAATTCTAAATAAAAATTTGAAGTGTATAAAGAAAAGTGTTTATCAATCCTTACTCTTAAAAATGTAAGAGATTTCTATATACAAGAGGAAAGATTAAATACAATAACTAAGTTGGCCTCCCTAAGGTTTCTCCTATGCACTGCTTCTAAGGTTGAGAGTAGTGGCAACAGGTTTTCCTTTCTAGGGTTTTTCTTCGACAGAGAAGTTCCTTCATCCCTCTTTTCTTCTTACCCCTCCATTCCTCTTCTTGATCTCCTCCTTCATCTTGTCACTACCTTGCTTTGGAAACTCCAACCCAAGGGACCACAAGGCAATGACTTTTTAGGTTTTCTAAAGTTTACATCTATTGATTTTTAAAAGCTACGATTGGAATTGATCTTGTTGGTGAAGTAGGTTTCTCCTATTTAACGGGCAAGAATCTCGCTTTGGTGCATCTCCTCTGATGGGATCCTGGCGAGGGTCGAATTTGGTGAATCTGGTTCACACCAGTTCCCAATCAGCTAGCTAATTGCCAAAGAAAAGGGATGTTGTTAGTAAAGCTAGCTATGGTTGGCGTGGGAAGCCTAATTTTGAAGCTGACAAAGGGGCTCTAGTTCCCTTCATGAGTTTCGACAGCATGAGTTTGAAGAGGATCCATAAAGATGGGAACATAATTAGGAGTATGCAGAGGCAACTGGGGGGGCCTTGTGCCTGCTAAGAGAAGGCCTATACTCCTCTTGGTTATTCTTCTTTAAGAACAAGTAGGGTGGAAACTTGTGGGTTGGGGACTGTTTGTTACTTGAATCCCTTTCTTTCCCCAAGAAACTGGTTAAATATGTGAGGATATCCAGTAGTTTTTAATGCTCACAGTGACTCCCGTTTCTACATTAGTAGCCCTATTTAGCCCATACAGTAATTGTAAATTCAATTCCTAGCTACAATTGGCTCTCTTTGCTTAATTGTTTATATCCGTTATAGTCATAGTTTAAGTCGGTTACTAATGCTGTAAGTTATACTTCTGATTTTGTCTTTAGATTATTCTGATTTTGGCTATATGCCATAAGATGGAGATTCTGTTGTAATTTCTTAGTACTTAATATATTTCTTTATTTCCCATAAAAAAATATTAGAGATTTAATTTCAAAAACAATACCTTTTAATGAATATTTTTAAAAATTAACTATTAAATTTAATGTTTTATATATTCATGGAAATTATGCATATTAATTTTCATATTAATTAAATACATATAGCTAATTAATTGATTATAGAAATTTTAACATTTATTAAATATATATTAGAAAATACAAGTTTATTAATTCAATAATTAAAGATGTTTGATCAACTTAAAAATTGACATACATTATCTATATCAATGAAATATTAAAGCCATGTTTATATAATAATTAAAATTTAACAAAAAGAGAATAACAAATAACATATAATAATAGCAGATAATAGTGATAATTATCAAATAAAGGGTGATAGATAGTAAAAAGTGAACGGTGGATGGTAAATAGTGAATTTCAATTAATATAATTATTTGGTTATACAATGATTAAATGTTGTTATTTAACGTTAAATTGATAATAACGACATATTTAAAAGTAATTAAATGCATTTTTTGTATTTTATTATTAAAATTATTAATTTTATAAAAAAATAATAAGAAAATAAAGAGATTAAATAAATTATAAAAGTATACTCACACACTCATTTCTATTTTTAATTAAAAAATTATATTATTTTTAAATGAAAAATAAAATTTTAATCATTTTATCTAATTAACAAATTTTGGTTATAAGCTAATATAATTTTTTATAATAAATTTATCTAATTAACAAATTTTGGTTATAAGCTAATATAATTTTTTATAATAAATTAGTATAAAAATATAAATATAATAATCACTTAATATTATTAAAGAGAAAAAATGATATTGAAACTAATTAAATAAGTACTAATTTAAAGTCATACCCAAAAATTAAAAAATTAAAATAGATAGATGTGTTGATAAATTAAAAAATTTCAATATGGTAATAGTTTTAAATAAAAAGCTACTTAAGTTAGCATTTTCAATTTACTCGTAGTATAGATCATAATTATTATTTGTTAGTTTTAAATCATTAAAAAAATTTTTACCAAAAATTTAGTTTAAAACGGTTTCAAAATAAATAAATTTATCAAACCTTTATCTTTAACAATTTAGATAAAATCAATAACCGCTACCCTCAAACCACTATATTAAACGGGTCTTAAATCTTACATTTGAATTTTAAAAGTATTCATTGAAGGACGATGCTTTTAAAGTTGAGACTTTAATTTTTTATTTTTTTATGAAAATCAAGACTGATACATATTTTTTTAATATACATATATTAGGGTGAGTAAGGTTTGGTTATGGTTATAATTAAAACCAAATTTTTTGTTATTGAATTTTAAAAAACCAATAACTAAATTAGAAAAAATTAATTTTACTGGTTTTGTTTTGTTTTGTTTATTTTTTTATTTAAAAATAACTACTTGGATAGATTTTAATCTTAACTAAAAAATTATTTTCATACTTTTTAATAATTTTTAATTTATTAATTATTATTTTATTAATTTCAATAATTAAAAAACTAAAAGTTAGCCAAGTAAAGTAAATTAATTAATTTGGTATAAACTGATGAGAAAATCTAAAACAAATCCAAAAACTAAAAAATTTATATAAAAAGTTTTTGGATCTAATTTTGTCTATAGTCATCTTAGTTATTGATTTTTTTTATTTTTCAAACTTAATAACTAAAACGTAAATCATTTGAAAGCAATTCAGTTTAATCTTTAGTTAAAAAAATCTAAACCCAATCAAATTCAACCCGTCAGTTATGATTTTGGTCAATTTATAATTTTTTTTTTTAGTTGTGAATTTCTCCACTCACCTGACATATGCTTCTTCAACTGTCCAATCTTTCAAGGCAATTATTCACTTAAATCTATTCCTATATATTCTCATATGTTAGGATGCTCTGCTTCTCATTGGATATTAAACACAATTTTCTACTCTGAGCATAGACAAACACCTCTTTAACATCTTACTCCGTTAGTGGCCTGTAATTTCAGCATTTGACTGTCGAGCATTTTATTAGTCAAGACTGGAAAATATATGAAAATAATTTGTTTTGATTGGTGATAATGTTATTCTATTTTTCGCTTTAAACCATGGTATTCAACTTTTATAAGTTAAATTGTATATTAAAACTGTAATCCAACTTACAAAATTAATAAAATATTTTTAATAAAATAACATAAAAAATAAATTTATTAATATGTCAAATTATACTTTTAATATATAATCTGACTTGCAAAAACACTTTCTTCTTTTGTTAAATCATTACCTAACTAATACAAAAAATCTTCAGGTACAATCCACTGCTTAGAGCAATTGATATATCTGAAAAAGGCTTTGGACGAGGTTGGTGGATGAGTCGAAATGCAGTCATCATACATACATATGCATGAGTTTTGCATTGCTCTTAAACTCAAGCATCGATAATAATTTTCAAAGTTTAAACAACTCCGGAAGAAATTAGCCATTTAGGCAGGATTGCACTGCTTGGCAAAATCAAAATAGAGTTGCAGTCAAAAATCTTCCAGATGAATTAAGTCAGAGTTTTTGTCCTTTTGGAAAGAAACAACTACCAGCTTGCATCATTGTAGGGTGGGAATGACTCTTCTATTATCATTATTATTATTATTATTATTATTATGGTATATTCGAATTTTACTAATTCAGACTCTGACTCTGACTCCCAAATAAAGACTTTTCTTGTGATTGTTATTTTGGATTGATGCTGGATTGATAGTTGAAAAAAATGATGGATAATGGAATAAAAACAGAGGGCTAGCCTCTGGAATTTCTTTAACAGAGAATTTACATGGAAACTTCGAAAAATTGGGATCAATATCCAAAAAGAAAAAAAAAATACAAATACAAATTTTAACAACCTTAAGCTTTTGTTTGGATTGGTTGATTTGAAAGGAGAGGGGAGGTGAGTGAGAGGCAACTGTCTCCTTTGTTTTATTTGGTTTTTTTCATTAATGGAGAAAGAAAAGAGATAGAAGGGTGATAAAATTCCCCTTATTCTTTTATTTTCTATCTTTTTAAATTAAAAAAATTACGAGGGATTTAATTTATATATTTTTTATTTTTTATTTTAAAAAAAAATATTTAAAAATATTTTATTTCAATTATTATTTTAATTAATAAATTTTAAATATTTTCTTTTCTTTTCTTTAAATTATTTAATTAAATAAAAATATTTTATTTTTTTCTCCTCTACTTGTATCTATAGGTTAATATCAATTTTTTTTTTGCTTCCTTCACTCCTCTCCCTCTCCTTTCCGTCACCTCCCTCCACTTCCCTTTATTAATTTTTATCCAAACAAAGCCAACCTGTTATATGCAGCAGCACAGTAAGATTGTTTCTATTGCTTTTAAGAATACAAACTGGATTTAAGAGTTCTATATAATTCAGTGTCGGAATGGATAGCCCGTCCTATTGCCTTTCTCCGATGTCTGTTACGACGAACTTTCTGGTGCCGTTGCCGGACCTTCTTTATCTTCTCTTCCTTTTCTTCAATTTTCTCCTCGGCTCTCACCTCATCTAAATCTAATTCCTTTATATTCTTTTTAACATTGTCACATTCATTTTCACCCTGAACCGGGGCAATGTACACAAAAGGTCCGACCGGGATGTCCTTCAACTCCAGCACAGGCTCCAAGGTCTTGATCACCGAGCTCATGGTGGGTCTGGACTTGGGGTTGCTGCTCAGGCACCGGTAAGCCAACGCAGCCAGCTTCCGAGCCCCCTCTATTGAGTACTGCCCCTCAAGTCTCCGGTCCATTATGCCTTCAAGTTTGCGGTGGTCCTTCAAAAGAGGCCGTGCCCACTCTGCAAGATTCTTTTCCCTCCCGTGACGCCTGTTGTCCACCGACCGCCGTCCAGTCAGCAGCTCCAGAAGTACTACTCCGAAGCTGAAGACATCACTCATAGTTGTCAAGTGACCTGAAAAATCCCATCAACCTTAAAAAATCAGAATATGAAAATGCATTAAAGTTCATACTCAAGCTTCGAGATAATGACAAGGCATGAGCCTGAAAAAGTGGATTGTGGAGGTTTCAGGTTCAAGCCTTGATATATTACCAGTTTTTATGTACTCAGGCGCTGCGTAGCCTTCTGTCCCCATCACACATGTAGTAACATGTGACTTTTCTTCATCTGGTCCATCCGTGGCCAATCCAAAATCTGAAAGCTTAGCATTGTAATCCTGGAAATTAAGAAAATACAATTTTCCTCTCATTTTTCCTTTATATTATTTTATTTCTGTAGCATTAAACTGAGGGAGGAGAATATGTTACCAGGTCAAGCAAGATGTTGGAAGTCTTAAAATCCCTGTATATGACTGGTGTCGCTTCTTCATGGAGGAAACACAGGCCTTTCGCAGCTCCAAGTATAATTTTTAGCCTAGTTAGCCAAGGCAATGCCGCACCATGCCCTGCATTAAGCATAGAGAATTAATTCTTTCCAAATTTTTGAATTTTGATAATATGTGTCCCATTTTTGCAGAGTGTACTTACTTCGAAAGAGATGATGCTCCAAGTTCCCTTCAGGCATGTACTCATAAACTAAAAGCCTATCCTGGCCCTCGTAGCTGTATCCGATCAAGTTCACCAGATTGGGGTGTTTTAATTGCCCAAGGAAGACAACTTCAGCCTGTTCAAATTAACCAAAAATGTTCTTTTTTAGAAAATGCAAATAGACACATTAGTTCTCAAGGTTTGAACTTAAAAACTTTCAATTTTGGAATCTCAAGTTCAAACATGATTGCCAAGAAAATGGAAATAAACGTTCAGTTATCAATGAAAAGGAATTTACCAGCCACTCCATATGCCCTTGAGTTCCATCCAAATCCAAGACCTTAACAGCCACAGGTTGAGCCTTCAAGGTCGGCCTGAGATTATCCTCAATGAATCCCTTATAGACAGGTCCAAACCCTCCTTCGCCAAGATAATTACACTTGGAGAAGTTTTTTGTTATCAATATTAGCTCCTTGCGAGTGAAGACATGAAGGTCTGCAAGGGAGATTGATAGATCACTGAGGGAGAATGGAGAGCCCGGATCGCTTACATCTGAGAGTAATAGCCTCTGGCTAGAAATTTGCTTCAAAGAAGAAGCACGAACTTTAGGCCCCAAGATTGTGTTCTTGGGTTTGATACAATTGAGGAAATATTTTCTGCATGTTGCCCATTTTTTGAGAGCCATATTTTATTGAAAAGGTTGGGTTTTAATTAGGCTTAAAATTTTCCTATCCAAAGGGGTCGGGAGGGGTTGGGTTTATATAGACCTTCTGAGGAGAAAAGGAGAGCAAAAAAAAGCAGACGGAAATTTCTGAGTACTGTTCAGGAGACCCTGGAAAGAGACATTGAACCCAACCATTGACTATTCTTTCTTGCCAAGTCTTCTTTGCTGTGGGGGGAGTGGCGTTTGTGCATCGAAATAGTGATTTGTGAATCGTCCCACTCTTTGAAATGGCCCAGCCTTGACTTTGAAGTTTGAAGAGGAATTTGAGCAAAAACTTTTTTGGACGGTTGCATATTTTTTAAAAACAATTAAATAAAGAGTCTTTGGTTTACATCCTGCTCTGATTGTAGGCTGAATCTGATATTTCCACGTAATACAATTGGAGGGGTCCGCTCTCCCACGACATGAACCTTCCATTATTTTTCTCCTTAATTTTTTTGGTGTTTACTCCCATGATGATATCAAGCGATGTTGTCATCGCACTAGCAGCCGAGTTGGGCTGGGAATGTGCGAGTGCGATAAAAATTTTAGTGAAATTTAAGTGTTTATAAAAATAATTGTAATATATTTTTTTTCTTTTCTCAAAAATCATCTTTTTGGAAAAAAAAAAAAAAAAAAAAGCTGAGGTTGTCATCACTTTGAAAGTGCATCTCTTTCATTGATGTAACATATTTATTTATTTTTATCAATGGTTTATTGATTTGAGTAAAATGAATTCAGTTCTTTTAAATAAGGTCTCGAATTTAAATTTTGTGAACGAAAAAACAAGTGTTGAGAAAACTTCTCTCTAATGAGTATTCGACACAACTTGATTTTAAATTAGTCGAGATTCAATGTGATTATTGAATATTAAGAAATTAGTATCAAAAAACATATTTATTTATTTTTAAATTTAAATTATATTATAAAAATAATTATTTTTTATTTTAATTTATATATTTACTTTTTTTTTCATTTTTAATAATTTTAATTTAATTTTATAACTTTTTAAATATGCATTCCATATGAAAAATTAACATATCATATCAATTAATTAAAAATTTTTAATTATTATTTATATAAATTATTAAAATTTATTAAAATTTATGTTTAAAAAATTAAAAAAATTAAAAATATTATTTTACCATCTAAAATTATTTACATTATAAAATTATATTTTAAAATTTTAAACTAAAATTATAAAAAATAAACAATAGACTAACAAATAGGTCCAGTCCTTGTGGTTGAGCCACCCCTTTTTGTCTTACTATATCTGTAGGAAAAGCCAAGCTCATAGATGATGATGATAATAACAATACTGATGATGAAAAATCTCCACTTACACAGAATGACAGAAAGTAGAAGCCACTGGATCAGTTGTGGGGGTCTATAGATAATATTATTAAAACAACTATCATGGATATACTACCCCTAAAGATCCCGTTTGACGAACCTACATTAAATAATGGTGATTCTTTTACACTCCTACAAAAATTGATACTCCTTTTTCTGTTTTTGGGTTTAAACAATCAGCTCGATAATATTAAAATAGATTTGAGCCGACGTTAACCTTTTGTTTAATTTGAGGAAACAAACGAGATGGAAATTGCCTTGTCCTTTTCTCTCCTCTATTTTCCTTTTTCAGTTACACTACAAAATAAAAAAATAAAATAAAATAAAATAAAACACTTCGTTATCCTCTTCAATCTCCTTATAAACTATAAATTTTAATAACTTTCTAAGTTTTGAATTTAACTCATGCTAACAGCTCGTTTAGATATCTCTTTCCAAAATTTTTGTTTTTTCTGAAAATAACAAATTTGTGAATTTCAAAATTTTCGCAGCAAAAATAGATTATGAAGACAATTAAATTTAGCATAATGGTAAGGCAATGATGATGAAAAAATTATTATGTCTTAAGTCCGTGTGTCACACGAGAGTTTATCAAAGTTACTGATCAAAACGTGAATCACAGTTAAGAAAAATGGACATTATAATATGAATACTACTAACAGATAGAGATGGAGTTAGGAATCCCATGACTAAGTTTTCCCATAAATTCTTGCTGCCGCCACCGTAAATGGACCTCAATTGAACGTACGCGCCTACTGTCTATGGTACAGACGTCATAAGAATAACTTTTGTAATTAATATAAGCACATATTGACTGCAACTGCGTCCACAAGAAAAGCATTCACATCAGTTGATTGTTGAGGGGGGTTTTGGAAGTTCAGAACCCTAAAATAGATCAAACACTTGTGGTTATAAATTTTCCATTAAAAATTTTAGGATAAATTTCTTCACAAGTAACTAACTCCAGAATTATTTTTTTTTAACAAGGTTACAAATATGGGGAAGGGGGGAATCAAACCCCAGTTTTCAGATCAGGAAAATGCATCTTATAAGTCGATTTATGACCATTGAATTGTGAGATCAAGGTGTAACTAACTCCAAAAATTTTGAAGGGTGGTTTCTTAGAAAAATAAATAAATAAATAAACATTCCACATCTTACCAAGTGCACTGAGCATTTTTGAAATTTAAATGAGAAAAAATTTTGGGATAATTTTTTTTATATTATTTTTTTGATATAATTTAAGATATCATTTAAATGATTGATTTTTTTTATTTATATAAAACTCATGATATTAAATACGTTTACTCATTTAAAATTATTGGAGAGGAATTAAAAAAATATTTTTAATTATA